CGTGAGTGAGCCTTCTCCTCCCCTCAACTCCACACAGGCCCGGTGTGCCCAGGCCAGTGCTCTGCCCTTTCAGAGGGACAGAGCACATCACTGGGGTCCAGGCTCCCCTCGGCAGCAGGTTGATACCGGCTACAGCTGCCTCTAAGCAGGGAGGGAGGATGGCGCCTGGGCCAAGTTTCACTGAATCACTGACTCATAATCAGAAGGGGTCTTTCTGACCGTGCAGGCCCAACCTCCCCCCTTTTACAGTGTTCCTGACCAGACCCAGCTTGAACACTCCCAGGGACAGAGAGCTCACTACCTTCAGGGAGTGTCCATTACTATTAGGTTGAGCTTTCTTCTCTGGGACCCACAACTTGCTCCTGGTACCTCTAATCCATCAGTCCTGGTTCCGCCTTCTGTCCTGCCTGCTTCTTCTTTCCCTCAAACCCCCACCCCCCAAGGCTCCAGGCTGAATGTCCCCAGATTCTTCACCTGGAGGCCTGGTCTCCAGCCCCCTGCCCCCCTGCTCCGCGGTATCAAGATCTGTCTGACGGTGGTAGCAGTATTTAGAAGCGCAGTTCTGGAGGGCCCCGGCCTCACGGAGACCCCAGGAGGGAGGGGGGTGGGGCAGGCAGCATCTCCCCCATTTCAAAGATGAGGAAGGTGAAGGATTTGCCCAGAGTCATGAGCCAGAAAGACGGGAGGCATCAGGCTGCAAGGCCAGGGCCCTCCCCTCACCACCTTACGGTCCTCCCTTGTTCTGGTCATTCTGTCTCTCCTGAGTGGGGCAGCCACATGGGGCCCTAGAAGAGCCTTGGGGGGTCTTTGGCCCCAGGTATGCACATGGGGATGGCGCCTCTAGACCCCTACGCCGCCCCTCCCCCTCATCCCATCCCCGCTGGGGATCACAGAACCTTCACAAACAGCTTGCTGCCTGAGGTGGGCTGGACTGGGCCAATGGGTGTGCAGTACACAGACATGGACTTGCGGTCCCTCGAGAATTCCAAGGTGCACTCCTTCTTCATCAGCTGTTTAATGACCTGGAAGGAGATGCCAGGCAGTCAGGGTCAGACAGGACAGGAGGCGGGCATGGTGAGGATGGGCAGCCTGGAGGAAGATGCCAGAGGACAGCCACGCACCTAGGAAATCTTCATCTAGAAAACATACCCTCTCTCTAGGGGCTTTCTCCGTGACTCCTGCACCAGCCTAGCGCTTCCCATGGCCCAGCAGGCCACGAGGCAGCCCCCAGGGCTCAGGACAGGGAGTCGAACACAGGGCCCCTGAGCCAAGCTCATGGGAGGCAGGCAGACCCAGGCCCCCAATCCCTTCTCTCCTTCCTTTCCTTCTCCCACTTGCCCTAACCCCAAGGCCTCAGCTTCAGACTCTAGAAGGAACCACCAGGCACTGGGGGCCCCAGTTTGGAGCAGCTAAGGGCCCAGGGCCTTGGGGGCCCAATCCAAGCCTCTTCTTTCTGCCCCCCACTACCCCATGAGCTGAGACCTGGAGGGGCCCTGAGGCTCCCCCCTCAGGCACTGGGAGATGGGGAAGAGATCTTAGAGGGAGGCGGCAGGGGGGCCAGGGTGACCTTTCCTGGAGGGGCTGTGGGGCTTGTTCAGGAAATGCCAGGCCAGCCTCCCTGGGACCTTGGGGGCAGTCACCCGCTCACTCACCGCATTGCAAGCTCCAGCTCGCTCCACCCGGGACAGCTGGCTCACATCTGTGTCAAAGACATTCATCTTCTCCACCAGGCAGGTGAGGGCCGTTTCTGTGGCTTCTCCAACCTTCTCATAGACCTTCTTGGACTGACCCCAACACAGACATCCACGGTCAGAGTGGGTATGGGAAGGCATCTTCTGTAATGCCCACTCGTAGCCCGCCTTCCTCAGCCCGGGGCAAGCTTAGCAGGGGATGGGAACCTCTGGGCTCCTGGCTCGGGCTTTGGACGCCACGCAAGAGGTGCAACCAACATGCCTGAGCTTAGAGTCCTGCCAGCCCTGAGCGCCCAAGCCCTGGGGGCAGAGGCCACTCAAACCCTTCTCATGACTAGGCCAAATCAGCTGTACTGAAGACAACAAGCTAGCTTCCTCTTCTGTAGACACTTGGAGCCAGCAGGGGCCCCAGGAGCCTCAAGGACTGAGCAAGCCTGGCCCTGAATACCCGGGCAGGTGGGCCATGAGAGCCCAGAAGAGGGTAGGAGGCAGCTGCTCTGGCTAGCTGACACCCCCTACACACACCGTCGGCATAGTCCTTTCCCCTTCCCTAAGATCCTCTCTGCTCAAAGCATGAGGGGTAAGTGTCCTTGGCCCCTCTAACAGCTAGAATCCTGGGGTTTCTTGAGGGTGGGAGGAGGTCGTGAGAGGCCTGTGGGCTACATCCAAGACACCATCGGGGATGGGTGGGGTGTAAGCTGCTGGGGAGGGGCTTCCTGGGCCCCCACATGCCCTGAGCCCAGCCCAGCCACTCACCTCACTGTAATCCAGGGTTGAATCGTTGCAGAGGGCACAGATGGTGGCCAGCTCGACCAGCCCATCATACTGGCTGCTATGAATAGGCTCCCCATCCTTCAGCCTGCAAGAGCCCAGAGCAGAGGTTGGGAGTAGCCGCTGCTTGACCCTCCCCACTTGCAGGGCCTTCAACCAAGGGAAGGGCCTCCAGCCTCCGCCGTAAGCTAGGCAGCCTAGAGAAGGAAGGGCTCCGAACACAGGGGACACGCACATCCCCCTCCAGAATCAGTCCACATCTTTATGGATGTCCCTTAAACAGCTTAAACTCACTATCTCTCTCCAAACTGCCTCCCTCTCCTCCCCTATCGTGGTCAATGGCACCACCATCCTCTCTGTCACCCAGACCCACAACTTTACTCTCTCCCCTCCTGCATATCCAATCTGGTGCCAAACCCTGTTGATTCTATCTCCATAACATCTCTCTAATATGCCCCCTTCTCTCCTCAGATGCTGACCCCACCCTAGTGCAGACCCTCCTCCCCTCCCATCTGGACTATGGCATTAGCTGCTGGGGTGGGGTCTGCTTGCCTCAGGCCTCCCCCCACTCCAGCCCATCTTCCATTCAGCCACCAAAGTGAGTTTCCTAAAATTCAGGCTCAAACATTTCATCCCACTACTCAATAAACTCCCTATCACCTCCAGGATCAAAACCAAAATGCTCTGGTTATCATTCAAAGCCCTCGAGAACCTAGCCATCCCCTTGCACCTCCCACTCTACCCCCCAGGTATCTTTCCATCCAGGGATACTGGCCTCTTTGCCATTCCTCCCCCAAGATGCTCCGTCTCCATATTCCACGGTCCCTGACCCAAGGCTGCCCTACAGGCCCATGCTTCCAGGTTGCTATCTAACAGTAGGGACCGCCATGCCAGTCAGACTGGCCAGGCTTGTGGGAAGGTGTCTTGCTAACTGGAGCCCCTTCCTGAGTCCTGCTCAGCTGGATTTTAACCAGATTGTTCTTCTGAGCCCAAGGTGACCCACAGTGGGTAAAACATCATTCTTACACACAAAAGTCCAGCCCTCCTGCCAAATCCCAGCTGCCCAGTGGCCCCATCACGCCATCTTGTGAGTGATCAAGGGAAGATCAGCCTGGAGTGGCTGGCAATGCCCCCAGCAGAGGGCACTGTTGCCCCATAGAGGCACAGCCTCACAGACCTGCAGAGCTGGCCAGGCTCCCCTGGTGCAACCGTTCCCTGTACAAGTCCCTATGACAGACCTTCATATATTCAGACAAAGCTACTAGGCCCCGTGCCTTCCCACCTCCCAGTCTAACCTCCCACCTCTACGCTAACCATTCCCGGTTCCTTCCACCAGCCTTCATGACATGGCCACCAGACCTGTCACCAGGCCGGCTGCCCTCTGCCAGACACTCCAGCTCTCCAGTGTCCTCCTTAAGCCGTCGTGCCCACATCTGAGCCCAACACCCCTAACACCTCCACTTCTCTGAAGGCGGCCCAAGGCTTCACCAACTCTCTTGGCTGTCATGGCGCACTGTTGATTTATAATGACCTTGTGGTTCACTAACCCCCTCAGATCTTTTTCAGACAAATTGCTGTGTAACCATCTGAACTTAACCATCCTGTTCTTGTGAAGTCAAGTGGACTTCCTGATCCTCAGTGTAGGGTGGTACATTTCTTTCTGTGAAACTCTGTTGGAAGCAATTCAGCCCAAAGCTGTGGTCCATGAGATCTTTCCGGATTCTGACTCTGACTTCCACCATATTAGCTATTGCCCTTAGCTCTGGATCACCCACAAATTTGATAGGCTTTTGTTTATGCCTCTTCCAAGTCAATGATAAAAATGTCAACCAGCGTCGATCTCTGAGGCGCTCCACTGGAGACCCTTTCCGAGCTGGCATCAAACCATAAATCATTGCTCTTTGGGTTTGGCCATTTGAGGACTTGGGAATACATCTAGCAGTCCTCTCATCTCATGCCAATCTCTCCATCTTGTCCACATTTCAACTGCTGTGCTAAAATCCAGGTAACCAGCAGCTACAGCAATACCCTCATCTACCCATCTAGCGACCCTGGCAAAACACAAAGTGAGATCCGTCTAGGGTGTCCATCCAAGGCAGTGCCTGCTCCAAGGTTACCCCTGACAAGGGGTGCCAACCACAAACACCAACCTAGCCTGGTCCAAGGCAGGCACAAGTGCCAACAATTCACACAGCCTCAAAATGTCAGCATTCATTCCCATTGCCTCTGGAAGTCAGAAGAGGAAGAGCCGGGAGTGAGAGCCCCTGCCCCAGGCATCCTCAGCCAGCACAGCAGTGGAAGTGGCAGCTTCCTAGCCAGTTACTGTCTGTACCTTCCCCGGACACTCCTATAACCCACTCACTCCCCCTCTGCCATTGCGCACACCAGTCCTGCTCTGAGGACTAGAGCAGCTGCCTTGACAGTCATTCATGCTTCTGGCCAAGGCTAAGCCCTGTAGAGTAGGCCACTCCCTGGAGCAAGAAGGCCTCCACAGGAAGCATTAGGCATACAGCCCCGTGGCTAAGGCTGGGAGTCCATCCAGGCAATGGGGGAGGGGGGGGAGGGGAGCCAAGGCTCTGGCCTCAGGGTACACCACAGCATGCTCCCTGGGGGGCCCAACCTGCCTGCCCCCAGGACCCGGGTCTCCTTTCCCTCAGTTCTCAGCCCTCCAGCCATACTCACACTTGGCCTTCGGGTGCATAGGTAGAGCCCGTGATGCTGAATTCATGAAGGCTACAGTTAGCTCCCTCTGCCTGGTCAACGATGAACATCTGAAGGGGAGACAGAGGCAGAGAGCTGAGCTGGCAGTCGTCATGGGCATGGAGATCTGCCCAGACTTGGCAAGCGCCCATGAGGCTGATGTTGAGCATGAGAGGGGCAGTGTCCAGAGATGTGCAGTCAGCACAGTGCCTGGCACATGTAGGTGCTTAATAAATGTTTGGTGACTGACCGCTGAGTGATGGGCTGAAAAACCAGCCCACCTGAATCATGGCTCCCTTGGCTATGCTTAGACATTTTACAATCACAAGACAGTGAGTGAATGTTATCTTAGAACACAGCCACCTGCCCTGAGCAAAAGACTGGAAGCCCCGGGAAGGCAAGCCCCTGACTCACCTAACATCTGTATCTGCCCCCAAATTTAGCACAGTGCTCTGCGTACAGTAGGCACCTAATCTTTGTTGGTTGAATTGACTCCAGCAGAAATACTATGATCTTTCTACTTCAGAAGTATTACTATCCCCATTTTACAGATCTTCAGAATCATAGACTAAATCTCAGAAGGTCAGAGCTAGACCAGGGCCTTTGTAGGGCATCGAGCAAGAATCACCCCTCCATGATATCTAGCAAGTGGTCAACCCCCTCACTGGACAAACAGAGAAATGGAGGCCAGGTGGCTGACTTCTGGAAGTGCCAGGATCTGAACCCTGATGCTCTCACACCAAATTCACACACCTTCAGATGAAGTCACCAGCGGCCACATAAACTGCTTGGAGGCACCCTCTGGGTAAATGGCCAAGCTCAGAGAGGCCTGCAGATCTTCTGACACCCACAGCCATCCTCTGCGGCCTTTTAGTGTCAGCACCATGGCCAGGGGTACTGGCAGAGCCAAAGCACGCGGCTGTGTCAGCACTGGGCGTGGGGAGAGGGCAAACTACTACCGTGGGCGGTCGTCCCCTGCACGTGGGTGTGGAGGCAGTGAGCCATGGGAAGGTGGTAGGAGCTGGGAAGCAGCTGCCGTGGTCAGAGCTTTCTCTGACATGGACCTGTCTGTCCCGGATATGAAAGCTGGGGGAGGCATCTGGGGAGCCATGTCTATGTTCCTAGGGATGATGTGCACCAGGCATGCATCTGCATCTCCCTCCCTGGCATCCCGCAGACTGAGGTTACATTTACTAGCTCTGCAAAGGCTGAGGTCAGCTTCCAGTCCAGGTGGGTCTGGAGTGCTAAGGTCTCCCTCCGTGAGCAATCTGAAGTTTCACCTCATACTCATCAGATCAGCTAAGGTAACAGAAGAGGAGAATGACAAATGGCGGAGGAGCTGTGGGCAAACAGGCCATTGATGCCCTGCTCGTGGGGCCATGCAGTGTTCTGGCTCTGCCCTGAGAGTTCCCAAACTGGGCATGCCCTGTGACCCTGCCATGCCTCTAAAAGGGCTAGGGCCCAAAGAAGTTGAGGACAAGATGTTACAGAAAGAGGAAAGATGTGTCTAGTGGTGTACTGCATGATGGCCTCAGACCGGACGCCAGGGGGTGTCTTTCTATAGGGGAATGGCTAAACAAACTAGGGGGTGTTAATGGCATCCCAGGCCAAGAGGTGACAGTAGCCTAAAGCCTGGGCCCGGGAGGAGCAGGCCAAGGCAGAGGCGAAGGGCAAGACTGAAGATGAGGATGACGGCCAGAATGAGGAGGGCGAGGAGATGGAGCTCGTCAGACAGGATTCTGGCAGCCTTTGCCCCCCCACAGTGCCCGTGGCCTCCCCACCCCGGGACATCCCTCTGTCCTGGAGGTCCCTTCTCCCCTTGGGGAACTCCTAGACCCTCCACTTTGAGGAGGGTCTAGACAAGCCATGTATCGCCACTCCCCAGACTTCACCACTATGACCCCTGCTCATTAGCAAACTTTCACGTGGAGTCTTTCCCCATTAGAATGGAAGCTCCTTAAAGGTAGGGACTGTGTCTGTATGCCCAGCACTCAGCATAGTGTTGGGCACATGGTGAGCATTTAATAAATGCTTCTTGCCTGCCTGCAATAAAGTGAAGGGTGCCCTACCAGCTGCTCTGTTTGAGGTATGTGAGGGTCTCATCTCCTCCCTCCGGACTGTCAGCTCGCTGAGGGCAGGCAGGGGCTGCAGCCTCTCCTGGTCCTGTCTCCTTCATCCAGGGGCCAGCAGTAGCTGTTCAACTGAATGAATGCTGAAGGGCATCTATCGGCGGGCCCCGTGTTGGACACACAGCATGGGTCCTTCCTTTACTAGTGACTTCCAAAGTCCTGAAGGCTCACCGTGACACCAGCACCCACCAGCCCTTTGCCACCTCAGGAGACACTTTGGTGAGCAAGGTGCCTCCCCCCACCCTGGGCCCTCGGACACCAGGCCCAAGCTCACAGCCAGCTCAGTGGGGCCTCCCAGAGCTGGGGTTCCTCTGACACAGCCTCTGAGAGCCCACAATGGGCGTCCAGGTGGTACACCAGGGGGCACCCCGTTAGAACAGCCTGTAATTGTTTTATTTCACCGTTAACCCAGTCAATGTTTCCTAGACTGCTCTTCATTTTGCCTGAAGCCTTACATCTTTTACTCGTGTTACCGTCAGAAATTTCTAATTTTATCCCACTGTGGGATCTGTGAGCACAGCATGCACGATTTCTGCCTTTTCAATTTTCTGAGGGCTTTTTTTATGACCAAGCATGCAATCTATTTTGGGGAGAATTCTGTGTGTACTTGGAGACTATGTAATCTCTATTTTTTTCCATCCTGTCATCCCCATATGTCCAATTTTTCCAGCTTATTCAATAAACATCTCGGATCTGGGATTTCTGTATTAATCTTCTTGCTACATTTATCATATTCTGATAATGGGGTGTTGGAGTCCTCTGCCATTTATATATACATATATGTTTATCTTAGATATTTCTCCTACACTGCTGTTGACTGATATTTTACCAATTTAGCTGCCAAATTGTTTGGTGCATGTGTATATGATGAATGGCTAGATATTTATTTTCTGTTCTTTTTGCCATAATGTCCTTGTCATTTTCTGACTTGAATTCAACCCAACCTAATGTCATTTCATCTTTTTTTAAAACTTGGATCTAAACAAGGCACTTACATTTTGTTCTCTTCTGAACCAAGTTTCCTGAGAAGGCAAGTTTGCTGAGAAATTTGAGGCGATTCTCCTCATTGGCATTTCTGGATAATTAATGTCTTGGTTCTTTCAAAGCCTCAATAGTTCTTTTCTTTGTCATTAGAGTTTGGACGTCGGATAATCATGTGTCTGGAAAATCTTGACCTTTGGACATCTCCAAGCTGGGGTCTCGTGGGTTCTTTCCTCTTGGGAACACCGTCTATCATTGACCATGCTGGGAAATGTTTCTTTCTGATTCATTCTCCAGCTATGATGCTACCGGGCTGGCGCGAGTGGCTCTCTGCCATGCAGGTCCTCAGGTGGTTGAGGATGGTGGGGCCATCCTGGGCCCAGTCTGGGGGATCATTCTCGGTGCTTAGAAAGCACCAGGGACTTCACTCCCACATGGCCCCTGAATGGGGGTGGGGGGTGGAGGAGAGGGTCAGAGCAGACAAGAGGAGGTTGCAGCATTGACTGAGGAAAACCTGCCCTGGAGGAAGGCACCTGTCCATCTCTGGCCAGAGGTGGACGATGGGAGGGGGAGAGATGGCACACACGACAAGAGGGAGAGATGCCCGACGCTGGGTCACCAGCAGGCTCCGCTGGTGTCTGCGCACTGTCGAGATGGCAGGAAGGCTCCCAGCATTGCGGGGGGAGGACACCCCTGGGTGAGGAAAGGGGAGAGGCTGAGGCTGTAATCTGCACCAGGGCAGGGCATGGGCACAGTCCAGATTCCTGAGAACCTCCCTACGCCTCTTGGAAGCAGCTTTTCTTCATTTCCTCCAACGGGCTGGCCACATTGTTCGAATGCTAAATGTCCACTTGCCCAAAAGACTATTCTACGGAGAACTCACACGGGGCAAGCATTCACATGGAGGTCAGAAGAAGTGATACGAGGACACTGTCAAAGTCTCTCTGAAGATTTGATTGTGTGACATGGGAGACACTGGCACAGGACCGCCCAGTACGGCATGCCCTCATCAGAGAAGGCGCAGCGCTCTATGAGCAAAGCAGAAAGGAAGTAGCTCAAAAGAAATGCAAGATATGCAAACTTAGAGAATCCACACAAAGGTTCACGCGGATATCTGTGCCCGAGCTGCGGCGAAGCCTTCCGAGAGCACTTGGCTGCTCAGCCACAGTCGGACACCCTGGGACTCTAGCACAATGCTGTCCTTTTGGTGCTGCTCGAGATCGACGGACAACAGGCAACCAACTCTGTTTCTCTCAGGTGCAGTCAGAATTTCCCTTTCATATGTTGAGACCTGTGCCTTCACTGGCATAGGGAACTCCTGCTGAGAAGAGTGCCTCCGCCGACGCAGGTGGCTTCCTGCTCTGCCACTGAAAGCCTCAGTGAGGTGGCTGGGCCCCAAGAAGTGAGGTGACACGTCTAGGGTCACACAGCCAGGCTGGGGCAGAGGCAGGACTGTGGTCCAAGGCGTCCCGGCTCCAGAGTCTGGCCTTCTGCCCACCATACCACGCGGCCCCTCTCAGATATGCATCTTCTCTGGTTAATTGTCTTTCTTGGCATTCCCCGCATCTCTCCTGGCACTGGTCCAGCTGGTGCGCTCCTAGCAGACTTCTGTCCCTGAATGTCCTCATCGCATCAGGCGTCATGCTGGTTATCTCGGGCCTAAACTTCTGGGGTGTCCTTGTTTCTGGGGGTCAGGAAGGTCAGTGCCTCCTAGGGAGTAATCCGCAGCATTCCCCTTTACGCAGAGAGGCAGTGCGTTGTATTGGAGAGAGAGTGGTGCTGGGTGCAAGTCCTGACTGTGGGGCCCGTCTCAAGACCTTGTGTAGACGGGCCCCCCTCTGCATTGCTAAGAGTCTCCTCACCCAAACATTCAATGAAATCCCAGCTCCAGGCCTGCCCCATCCCCCTCCCACAGCCAGTCAGAGGACAAGCTGGATGTTCCCCAGACCAGATGGTCCATC